CGTTTTTACAATGTTTCAAAGTTATTGTTGTTAGAAAGATTACAACTATGTATGAATGCTCAACCAATTATACATTCTTCTGTGAATTTCTTTGTTTTTTAATTGGCTCTTTTGATTTTAGATTATACTACGATGTAAAAGATTTTATTAAGGTTAGGTTAAGCTTTGAGTATTGATTTGACGTTCAATGCACAAAAAAAATATTATATATTTAATATTGTACCGACTAATAGTTCATTCAACCAAACATAAGTGTTTTATCATAGTGCTCAATACATTCTTTACTTTATTTATACAACAGACTAACATATTCACTACTGATGTGTGTTATTTGATACATAGTGGTGATAGATATAGGTATAGATATAGGTGTGCTTTTATTAGTGTAACTGTTATAGAGTGAAATACATTTTTAAAATCAAAGTCACACATACCTAACCAACACAAGATTATACTAATGATGAATGAACACACTTCCATTAAAATTTCTTCTTTTTATTGTTGGAAGTTAAAATGCTGTATTAAATAACACTTTATTTTTATTCATTTTGTTAAAATGATAAACTGTATATTCACTCCTACGCAATAGGTAGTGTAAGTCACAGTTAACTCTCTGTTGGGTATTTACAACCAATGAACAAAATAATACTACTACTACTTACTACTGACCTAGGTAAGTAAGTCGTGTACTGTATAGGCAATTTATCATTTAACATGTGGTACTCTTAGAAATGTTTATATTATTTAAAAAGTTAATACAATAGATTGTATTGATGTTAGGTTAGACAGAGCTTAGATTTAGGTATAGCATAAACCCTAAATTATAATATAATTTCACTGTAACACTTAGTGTTATACAGTGCAATACATTTTTACAATGTTTCGTAGTTATTGTTGTTTGAAGGATTATAAATATTATGTACCTATAAAACCAATTAAACATTCTTCTGTGCATTTTTAATATCTTAACCTATAGCATTGTACTGATATGTTATTTAGGTAGACTTTTTTCTCTTGGAAATCTCAGGTGAACTATGAATGAGAGTTATGACTCAGTGGACTAAATGTACTTTTAACATAGGCGTTATAAAAACAACAACATTTCACTGTGTTCACCTGTTTCACCTTTCATTTGATTGATAGCTGTGGCTTATTATACATATAGTTCATTCAACCAAAGTTTTAATTTAAAGTTTAAATTTATTTATTCAACTATAATAAAAGTCACTATACATATTTTACTATCTCAATATACTTGCTTACTACAATGACAATTTTAGATTATACTACAGCAGGTAGGTACTAAAAAGATTGTATTAAGTTTTGTATATGTGTAGTTAACTTGATCACATTGAACACATTCCTATTTATTTTTACCTACTTAGTTACAAAAACACTGATAAACACGATATTAATTCCTGGTTAAACAATAATAATTTTAATAATAATTTTAATATTAATTTACTCTAAACTCAACCAAACTTTTAGGTGTTCGGGGACATCCAGATGGATGTGGTGGAGGCCTTGGAAGTGGCAGAAGTCCAGATGGATGTGGTGGAGGCCTTGGAAGTGGCAGAAGTCCAGATGGATGTGGTGGAGGCCTTGGAAGTGGCAGAAGTCCAGATGGATGGGGTTGAGGACGTGGAGTACGTGGAAGTGGTAGAGAACGTGGAAGAGGTGGAGTACGTGGAAGTGGAATTGGTCGACGACGGGGTGGAGGAAGTGGTGGAGGACGACTTCCCGGAAGAGGAGATAGAGTACGTGTTAGTGGTCGAACTACCCATAGGGCTTGCTCCAATCATTAACCGGCAGGCGGGCGTGACACACCCGCTTCCAGAGCGGCACTACGTGGGCGCGTTAGACAGAATCTGCATACATTGTTACGCCCGCCACTTCGAAGGCGAGGTTGTGCGCCGAGGTGCCAATAGACACTTCAACACGTGTTGTAACAACGGCCAAATGGTCGCTGCAGGACAACACGCGTTGTTACCAGTACCATATTTAATACAGAGTTTGTTTATAGATGATTCCCAGGATGGTCGAAGATTCCGAGCTGAAGTTCGGCGGTTCAACAACCTACTGGCATTCGCTGCGTTTGCCTCCGACGCACACGACAGGCGTTTGCCAGGGCGGGGACCGCCTGTGTTTATTGTCCACGGTCAGACCTATCGGACGACCAATCGTGAGGTGGCCGTCGCCCCGGAAAATGCGTACAACTGTCAGTTGTATTTCTTGGAGTCCGTAGAGGCCAACCACCGGCGCCTCGATATTGCACGACGGGCAAATCGTGAACTGTGCGAAATCGTGATGGGTTTATTGGACGGTTTGCTGCGGGGCATCAATCCGTACGCAATGGCTTTTATGTAAGAAAACTTAAACTATTGTATTTATGAACACTAGGAATGTGAATTTCCCCTTAGAGTAAATACATTTTACAAATACCTTTCTTACAGTAGATAAAAAAAAAAAAAAGATTTACCAATATACACTAAATACACTAAATACACTTAATAATGATTTAAAATAATGTATACATAGCAAATAGTTTAGAACTCCTCCTTATTAGTTATTTGAAATACCTAAGGTACTAAGGATATAACATTAAATATGACATAGGGTTTGGATGTTTATGACTTAACATATTTATGTAACTTTGAAGTAAAACTATCTTGGGGTACATTTAATAATACATTTTATACACATTGAATGTGATTCTTTACGCTTATTACACCTACACACAGGCACACAAATATTTCTTCCGTGCGCGGCCAAAAGGGGTTAAGTCAAAAGGGCTGACAGATATATGTATTAAAATTATATAATAAACATTGTAATTGATAAATCGAACTGATAAAAATTAAACTAATATTTTACAATAAAATTAAACGCCAAATTGGATATGATAAATGATAAGTGTTAAAACTTAAAGAGGAAAAAATATTGACTTATGCGATTTTACCAAAAACTAATTCATATTTATTAGAGATAAAACACATAACAATCTCAAAATGTGTATTTTTGACTTAAGCCCTTTTGACCGCGCATGGAAGATTTATAATATATAATATTTAGTATAGATTATACTCTCACCGCTACTGATATAGAGTTAAATGGATTGAATGATCGGATGTTTTTATTACACATAATATACAATTATTTCTAACAATATCACTGATACACTAATACACCAATTTATTACAATTGATTAATACATTTTAGGTAATATGATTTATTCTCAGCTCTTTGAAAATTCACAATTATTTGTACACATCATGCGGAGTGTGTTTAACATAAATATATAAATATATTCGTTTCAGGAACATGCGTCAGGTGTGGCTGGCAGAAAGAGCCCTGGCCGATCCCGCAGCCGCGCCACCTAGACCAGTCAGGATGAATTTCGTTGAAGATGCGGCCCGGGATAGGGGCCGAAACAACCTGCCTACCGCAAATGAAGTTGCGGCCGTGTTCGTAGGTGAAGGTGGTCATCCTCCCAGACCCATCGATCTGGTCATCTTCGACACCAATCCAATCGACATGCAATACAGGTCGCAAAGGATACCTGCGGGTTAGTACACCTCACAGACACTCACATAATTATAGTATTATAACAGATGTCTAACTGCTACCAACAAAGAGTTAAATTACACCCCACCTTTACTACATTTTGGACATTCTTTTGAAATTTAATTACTTAATAACTAATACGTTAGGTCAACACCGACTTCAACCCTTTCACTTGTGCAGTAATACTTATTACATTAACAGTTTGAGTTTGTTGTGTGATAAAACAAAAGTCATCACATTATTATTCATTTAGTACATAACTCTTGTAATGAACGGAACACATATTCATTAAGGTTAATATCTTTTATTGTATTGACGTAAACACATTCACAAAACAAAATACAATATAGAACATAGAATATAATATACACGTAGTAATACGAATTTAATTATCCCGGATGTCCGATTACGGGTAAAATCAAGATAGGAATATAATTCAAATATAATAATTATGATAAGTAAAATTTTATACAAACAAAATATAACTTCGGTACGTTTTAGTATAATTGGAAATAACAATAAAATCCGACTTACAGTTTTTGCAGCAGTAGCCAATATATTCACCTTCAACGGCACCCTAACAATTTACTACTTGCTTCTTAGAGCGATAAGAGAGTGTAAATTACTAGACTCCTTTCACATCGACCAAATCGCGTATCGTAGTATAACGATCGACAGTACGGGGTATTAATGCCGTACCCGGACTGTTACACTACGCCGTTTGATATGGTTGGAAAGTAAGGAGTCTTATAGGCGTATACGGACGCAGAAAAAGAGAGTTACGACTACTGGTGGGAATAGGCACGGTACCAGGCAGTCGGACAGTAAGGGGTTTTACAGCCTTACCCACGACTCTGGACGGTGGTGTCTATTCCTACCAGTATTTTGGTCGGAAAAACGGAATCGGTGAGCCGGCCGTCGGGCCTTCCTATATGTGCTGTTGCGCTTATTCCCGATTGTCAGCCTAGCGAATGACAACATACCCGTTTCGATGCCGCTGCGGGTTTTCCGGGTCGATAGGGGTTTGGATGTACATAGGAATCTGTTCAGAATGTATGCCCTTACTAGTTTGCTATCATTAATCCCCCCTGGAGGGACCAATTGTATCCTTAATCAGCGATCCCCAGTCGGATCTATGATGAGTTGTCCTTGAGCGCGATCTACCGTTAGTCCGCGAGCGAAATGTCGTATCGGTACTCGGGCGCGCAGTATTGGTGGCGCGGACTAGCGGAGAAAGGAGTGGTCCGTACATTCAGAATCGTTACATAGTCCCCTTTTTTATTTTGAGTAAATGGGACTTTAAAATTTTCGTAACCTTGAAAGTTTTACAATATACAATTTAGGAAAAATAAAAACAAGATGAAACTATTAAGGTTTAAACAATAAAATTGGTGCTTATGGCAAGATATATACATTATTTTTTTTTTTTAAATGTGTTACTGCGGTCGAGTGCGCAGGGATCCGAAACTCTTCTTCTTGATACTTCGTTTGCTTGTAGGATCAGCTAGTCTCCTTCCTTCTTTTGGTCCCTGGACTGGAAGTGTGGTGGCCTTGGTGCTGGGCGTGATGGTTATAGTAGTGATGGATGGTTGGTTCCTGTGGTGGTGGGTTGATGGTTGGTTCCCGTTGTCATGAGTGACCTCCTTCCATAATAAGTGTAAGTCATTATGCAATGACTCGTCGGTCAGGCATATGACTTCGTCGTTTTCCAATGGGGTAGTTGTTTTCTTCTCCAACTCTGTTGGTGGGAGTTTTCTGCTTTCTGCTACATGGTAATACAATTGTTTCTCATGTTCGCTTCTCTCCATACTTAATTGTTGGTTACTTGCTTGCCTCACAAGATCCTGTTGTTGGAGAAATGTCGCTTCGTCTTCAAGGAGTATGTGATCTTTGATATTTTCGGAGTTCTGGGTGCTGATCGGTGGCAGTATCGCTACGGGTTCAAAAGAATATTTGGTCCTTTTTGCCAAGACTTCTCTCTCGTAACGGGCCTTCGCTTTCCGGAACTCGATACTAGTGTTGAGCTCTCCTTTTAGTATCACTCGATATACTTCATCATGGATTCCTTGCCTTGGAGTTTGAATTTCTCTTTTTAGTATATACTTGTCATCAAACTCTAACGTATCTGGTAATTGTTCCCTTCTTCTAATCATTTTAATATTACTCGATGGGTGAAGGAAGTAGGGGTTTTTCTTGATAATGGATTTGGGTCGTGTCTGGTCTCTTGTCTCTGGCGTTCTGTTGGGAAAGTATAGTTATATTTAAAGCTCATTATATGTTAGTAGCTACGACCCTGTCACCAACATGAACACAACACAATACATAGAACAAGTTAGTTATTACAATTCTGTATCTCCTTGCCGGGGTCAGGAGGTACATACAGCTTGATGTTTTTGAAATTATGAGTTGACTGTTGACCATTTTCCGAGATTACTACTACGGTGTTATTCTTTCGTACTTCAGTGATAAGATATGGTCCGCGATATAGCAAGAAGAACTTTTTTATGGTATTATCATCTAGCGACGATAATTTATGTTCTCGTAGGAGGACTTGTTGGCCTTGAACATAATTAGGGAATTTCTTTCCTTTGTTATGGTATTCGCACCGGTATTGCGCGGTCTTCTTTAGTCTTTTATATGCCAGTTGTATAATAGTATTCTTTTCTTCATTCAACAATAGATCGTCAGCCGGGATCAGTTTGTTCAGTCGAAAACTGTGTCGGCGTCCATCGACTAGTTCTTGTGGGGTATAGCCTGTGGATAAGTGAGTGACATTGTTGAGCCAATACTCGATCCTTGGTAAATGCCCTACCCAGGCGGTATGTTTCTGGTAGCAAAAGGTTCGTAGTATACGACCTATTTCCCGGTTCGTCCTTTCAACCGGATTCCCTTCGGGGTGGTAGGTAGTTGTGACGATGTGGCGTATCTCCCATAATTTCATCTGTTTCTCCCAGGCTTTGCTATGGAACTGCGTACCGTTGTCCGTGAGAATGCTCTGTACTGGACCAAAGGCAGGTAAGTACTTATCTCGCAGTTTTCGTATTATATTCCCGGCCGTTGCTTTCCGCATAGCATAAATTTGTACATGTTTCGTAAATAGGTCCAATAATACTAAAATGTATTGGTTTCCAAACTGTCCTTTTGGTAACGGCCCCATCAAGTCCAGTGAAATCCTTTCTTTGGGTTTCTCGGGAATGTTTGCAATCAACGGTCCCCTAGTATTTTGGTTTGGGATCTTGCTTCTTTGACATATATCACATCGCTTGATTATTTGTTTGATGGTGTGGTACATCTTGTGTATCTGATATTCTCTTCGTAGCATGTCGTGTACTTTAGCTGCTCCAAAATGTCCGAATAATTCGTGAGTTTCTATCACTATGTCTTGTACCATAATTTTGGGGAGCATGAGTTTCTCTCTTCCGTCTTTATCAATGAAGAAGAGTAATCCCTGGTGTATTTTGTACCTGTGGGTTTCATGCGTTTTGATGCGGTCTCGAATGATATTCAACTCTTCATCTTGGTCTTGGAAATCCTTCATCTGTTCGAATTGTCGTAATAGCTTCGTGCTATACTGGTTGTGTAGCACTTTATTGATGTAAATAGTTGTTTTTTGTATTTCATCCCTGTCCCCTGGACTTTGTGGGTAGCGGGTTAAAGTGTCTGCTCCAATGTTGTCCTTTCCGGGAACATGGGTTATTTGCAGGTCGAACTCTTGTAGTTTGATGGCCCATCTCATCAACCGCGCATTCAGTAGTTGGCATTGATTGAGAAACGTCAGTGCTTTGTGGTTTGTAATTTTGCCTGTATTCTCTGAGAATATGTGTTCATATTTCCATAATAGTTCGTTGAATATGACAATTTCTTCTGGGAGTAGTTTTCCCTCACTTATTCTTTCCTTGGCAATTTCAACTTGTTGGAGTGCAGTACTGTCCCCTGGTTCACTAGTTTCCTGTTCTCTGAATGGTGTTATATGTTCCTTTTCATTGATACGCCATCTGATCGTTTTATTTTGAAAATCGATCTGTGCGTCATATTTGTCTAATACGTCAGTACCGATGATTCCCCGTTCGTTGGGATTTTCCATCTGTACAAATGTTACCAATATATCTGCTTCATTGAGTTCGCATGAGCAGTATATTTGCTTCGAAACTTTACATAGCTTCTTACCGATTGCGTTGCTGATCTGGACTCCATTTACCGGTAGTGTGGGCACAGTTGGGTTCTTTTTCAGTATGCGGTCGACGACTTCTTTAGCCAAGACGCTTACCGTGGCTCCGGTGTCAATTAGTAGGTTGACTCTTTCTCCCTCTATGTTGCATTGTAGGTATGGACTGATGGTCTTCTTGTTCGTGGGAATATTATTTACCGTATGTGTGATTTCTTCTGCTGGTTCTTCCCCCTCGTTCTCTTCAACTGTTATCTGTCGAACTTGTTGTTGGTCTCTCCATTGATTACTGTTTTGCCCTGGTTGGTTGAAGTTTCTATTATTTTCTGCATTTTGTGTATTACCATTTTGGTTTTCCCGCCATCTACCATATTGCTGATTGGTGTTGTTTGGTCGGTTATAACCATTGTTATGACGTGAGTTATTGTCATTAGTGTTCCGTGGATTGTTGCTATGGCGTTGATTATTGTCATTGCCGTTCCGTGGATTACTGTCTCTCGTTGGTACCCTCCTTCGATGTTCTTCGGCTCCGAGGACCTTCATCGCATTTAATATTGTTTTTTGTGGTAGAGAGGTCAGTATTGCCCTTAAGTACCCGGGGTAGTGTCCAGCAATGTTTTGTACAATTTCACCCTCGCTAAGGTATGGCATTTCCAAGTGTCGGAGGTTCGTGGCCCAGTACATGAAGTGTTCCCGATATTTTACGTCAGCCGCGATTTGTGTGACGTTTAGGCATTGGCTCCAGACCTGGATCTGAATCTCTTTGGACCAGTATTCATCGATAAATACTCTTTCGAATTCTTCGTAATTCCTAAGTTGGAATCTTATTGCCAAAAACCAACTGCCCGCGGTGCTTTTCAAACAGTCTTTTACCACAATCAGCTTTTCTTCATCGTAAATCTGTTTTATTGCAAAATATTCCCGTAGTTCACTTATGAAATCTCTTGGGTGTTGGTCCCGACGATTTCCGTAAAACGTGGGTTTTGTGATGTCGGTGGTTTGTCTTTGAGGCCGACAGTTTTCTTCTCTGAGTTGCGTTTGTCTTGTTTCATCCAAGTTGCGAAACGTATTTAAATATCTTTCTTCCATCTCGTCCATGTACCTTTGATATCTGATTTCATTGTCTTCCGTCTTTTTCTTATAGATTTCTTCCCATCTCTGTTTAAGTTTTTCTATTTCTTCTTCCATATTTTCTTTAGCTTTTCTCGCTCTTTCTTCGTTCTTTTTTTCTGTTTCTTCCAGTTTGTTATCGTATTTTCTTTTTATTTCCTCGGTTTTTTCATTGTATTTTTCTTTCATTTCCTCGATTTTTTCATCGTATTTTCCTTTCATTTTATTCTCCAGATTTTTTAATCTGTTTTCAACAGATTTTTCTAATGCTTCAATTCTGTCCATAATATTTTCTTCGTTGTTATCAAGTCTCTTTTTCGGAGCCATGTTGATTTATAGATGTAGTTTTTTAGTAGGTAGAGCACGATATTCTTAGTGGTAGTCGTGAAAATTCGAGCTTCGCGTTGGGCGCCAAATGTAATGAACGGAACACATATTCATTAAGGTTAATATCTTTTATTGTATTGACGTAAACACATTCACAAAACAAAATACAATATAGAACATAGAATATAATATACACGTAGTAATACGAATTTAATCATCCCGGATGTCCGATTACGGGTAAAATCAAGATAGGAATATAATTCAAATATAATAATTATGATAAGTAAAATTTTATACAAACAAAATATAACTTCGGTACGTTTTAGTATAATTGGAAATAACAATAAAATCCGACTTACAGTTTTTGCAGCAGTAGCCAATATATTCACCTTCAACGGCACCCTAACAATTTACTACTTGCTTCTTAGAGCGATAAGAGAGTGTAAATTACTAGACTCCTTTCACATCGACCAAATCGCGTATCGTAGTATAACGATCGACAGTACGGGGTATTAATGCCGTACCCGGACTGTTACACTACGCCGTTTGATATGGTTGGAAAGTAAGGAGTCTTATAGGCGTATACGGACGCAGAAAAAGAGAGTTACGACTACTGGTGGGAATAGGCACGGTACCAGGCAGTCGGACAGTAAGGGGTTTTACAGCCTTACCCACGACTCTGGACGGTGGTGTCTATTCCTACCAGTATTTTGGTCGGAAAAACGGAATCGGTGAGCCGGCCGTCGGGCCTTCCTATATGTGCTGTTGCGCTTATTCCCGATTGTCAGCCTAGCGAATGACAACATACCCGTTTCGATGCCGCTGCGGGTTTTCCGGGTCGATAGGGGTTTGGATGTACATAGGAATCTGTTCAGAATGTATGCCCTTACTAGTTTGCTATCATTAATCCCCCCTGGAGGGACCAATTGTATCCTTAATCAGCGATCCCCAGTCGGATCTATGATGAGTTGTCCTTGAGCGCGATCTACCGTTAGTCCGCGAGCGAAATGTCGTATCGGTACTCGGGCGCGCAGTATTGGTGGCGCGGACTAGCGGAGAAAGGAGTGGTCCGTACATTCAGAATCGTTACACTCTCATCAGTTTTATAGTAACATTACTTCAATGCTTAATTCGCTGTTCTCTTATTTCATAATTTGTGTATACTTCATAACTAACATCACTTAGAATTATTAACACTTGGTATAGAAATTAGCCCACCTTAGAGTTCATGTTTTAGATTGTTTTATAAATTACCTTTCCTTTGCGGTTTTATAAAACATTATGTACTTGCAAGTACACGACCCAATCGTAACAATAAATAAATAACTGGTAAATATCCTATCACGCATACATTCTGGACATTCTTTTGAAATTTAATTAGTTATTTACTGATTAATTAGGTCAAACCCGTCATACATAATAATACTTATTAAATTAACAGTGTAAATTCGTTGTGTTGTTGTGAAACAAGCCATTACATCATTATAAATATAAAACAATGTGGATCAACATAATACCTTTCACATATTATTATTGTCTCATGGATTTTCC